GATTGACCTCTCGGTCGAAGTTGGACTTACTTAGTCGGACTATTTGTTCCAGGTAAACATACTCGTCAACAACTTCGAGCTTAGTGCTCCCAACAACTACCGGCATAGGTGTGACATGGACATTGAACATGATCTTTGTTTTGTCCATGTTCATCTTAAGACCTATCCGTTGGGAGACACTATTGAGGTCATTGAGCATGGTGCTTAGATCCTCCAGCGATTCTGCCATAAGAACTATATCGTCGGCAAATCGAAGGTGAGTGATTTATTTGCCATTGATATTAATACCGTATACTTTCCAGTCTAGAAGCTTGAAAACGTCTTCTAATGCAGTGGTGAAGAGTTTCGGGGATATAACGTCACCCTGTCTTACACCTCTCTGCAGTTGGATAGGTTTCGTACTCTGATTCTGTACTCGGATAGCCATCGTAGCTCTATTGTACAAACACTTAAGTACTTCGATATACCGACAGTCAACTTGGCACCGCTGAAAGGACTGCAGCACCGTCCAAATTTCGACGGAATCAAAGGCTTTCTCATAGTCCACTTACGCCAGACATAGTGGCAAATTGTACTCCTTCGACTTCTGTACAACTTGCCGAAGGGTATGTATGTGGTCTATGGTGCTAAAGCCCTTTCGGAAACCGGCTTGTTCGGGAGGCTGGAAGTCGTCAAGTCTGCGCGCGGAACGATTCGTAATGACTCTCGAAAACAGCACGTAGACGCGGCTCAGAAGGGAAATCGGTCTGTAGTTCTTCAAGAGAGCGTTGTCACCTTTCTTGAAGAACAAGACCACCGCACTTCTGCTCCACGCCTCCGGTATAATGCCACCATGGAGGACGGAATTAAAGAGCCTCTGAAGGACTTCAAGTACCGCTTTTCCACCCGCTCTCAGAAGCTCCGCTGTAATTCCATCCTCGCCTGGGGCCTTGCCGTTTTTAAGACGCTGGAGAGCCATTCTAATCTCGCTCAGACTGACGTCCCGGATATCTTCGGAATAGTGTCGGATAAGACTCGCTCTTGGATCGTTACTCACACTTGCGTGTGGCTCCAACGATGACGTGTAGCTGCCCATAGAACTTCTCAATCTCACTCAAAATCTTAGGTGCCCCGGAAACGATGATGCCACATTCTGTCTTCAGCTTTGATAGTTGGCTCTTTCTGGCAGACAGATCTCTGGCAAAGACTTTGGCTCCTTGATTCCGCTCGATCGCTTCTTCAATACGAGCTGTATTGAAGTTGCGTAAGTCCCGCCGCATGCATTTGGAGATCTGTCTGTTCAGTTGCCTGTATGCTGTCAAATCTGTTGAAGAATGTAGCTTCATCTCCCGTCTAACAGCCATGAGATTAAGAGTTTGTTCGGAGAGTTTTTGTGTTCTTCTGCGGCGGGTCTTGCAGAACTTAGCTCCGACCGCATGGACAGTTTCCACGAGCTTGTCATTCATATCGTCCACTTCATTGCAGTTTTCTAGGCACTGAAAACGGTTTTGTAACACGAGCTGAAAGGTTTCACGACTTTGGAATAGAGCACGAGGGGAACGGAGCGTTGACTTCATTAGACGAGACCTCTCCAACTTAACGTTTAGGTTCAGTGTGCCTCTAACCATTCGGTGATCGCTACCAGTTTTTCACCCTCGCGATCACGGAGACATCACTGAACAGTTGTCGTCTGGTCGTCGTAATGAAGTCAATCTCATTTTTGTCGAACCGTCGGGGCTCGACCAGGTCCACTTACTGTGGGGCTGCTTCTGGAAGAAAGAGTTCATCATAAAGAGTCCCTCTTTCTCCATGGAGTCGGCCAGCTGCTGGCCCCTTGGGTTCCGTTGCCCTATTCCAAATTTCCCTACTTTCAGCTCACCGTTCTTTCATGTGCCTAGTTTTGCATTGAAGTCTCCCATTAACACCATATATTGGGTTTTGGAGGAATGCATGGCTCTAGAGATATCCTCATACATTTCCTCCACCTCCTCATCGAGGTGTGCCGAGGTTGGTGCGTAAACCTGTATGACTTTCAGCAAATACCGTTTGGTGATTCTGAGTATAAGGTACGCAACCCTCGTCGACACACTCCCAATCTTTACAACGTTGTTAACGAGAGACTTGTGGACGATAAATCCGACACCTCCTTGGGACAGATAGTCGCCCTCCCGGTGATAGAACAAGTTGCCGGATTCGAGGATTACCGTGTCCTCCCCCTCTCTTCGGACCTTGGATAATCTTATGATATTCCAGCGCAACTTGTCTATCTCTTCTTCCAGCTCCAGGATCTTCTCATCAGACCTAGGGGTGCGTGCGTTATAAGTTGCCAGGTCGAGTCGTCGTAGGTGGCAACCGAATTTCCACCGGAGATTCTTAGCACCCCCTGCCCCGCCGTTACCATGGTCGCCACCGTAGCCAGGAATAGCCGGGCCGCCGGGGACTGGGGGCCGTCTCTTTGTTAATCTCTACATGGGGGGTATTTGCCATAGTTACCACGCTTGGCGAGCGGGTTGGCAACCACAGTTTTTTTTATTGTAATTTCGGCTACTATCAGGAAGATGCTGCTACCCATCTCCTGTCTGTTTCCCTTTGTCGCCTTTTACGACACTCACGGGAAGATATGGGGCAGTGGATATTCTTGACCGCCACTACACGGCACGCAAAGTTCAGACCCGAAACAATTATTTGTAGGCCATACAATACTTGTTCCGTGCAAGATGCGAACCAGCAAGCTATCAGCGCTGCAACTTAATACTAAGCCACTGCGATATACAGCCGTCAAATTATTTCATTTTGGGACTCCCTCGAGAGCATTTCAATATATATATATTTAATGAGAGGAGGCAAACGAACATGTGGCTTACCCGATGGTGAGAGACCACCGCCGATCATGAACAACTGCAACACTGGCGTTATAAGAACAGTTTGCCTCGATAGCCACGATCAGACGACCTTATATAGGCATTCCACTTAAGTCCTCAGGGGTGACTACGTATCTGCATTTTGATTCTTAACCGAGGATAGATATAGATGTCTATGTGCTACAGTAACCATTCACCATCTAGTGGACTGTGTTTTGGTTTTTCAATAAAAAAGATGACCAAAAGTCTCGCACGTTTGACGCCGTTGTCCGAAGCCGATCATCATATCTGCCGTGATATATTAGAAGCCATAATATTTAGCTGGTATTTCCCATTAACTCTAACGACACCCACAGGAAATGGAGTAATGGACTCTCTAACGCCACCACCACATCCCACAAACTTAGATTAGTCTAAAATGTTTATTTTCGAAGCCCCTGTAACGGTGAAATTGATCTATTGTTTGGAAGGATTGCAACAAACCGCAAGTAAATTTCTCGGATCATTTGCTAGCTATGCGTTATTTGGGGCAACAGCCATGGAGCTAAATCTTGTCTTTGGTAACAGAGTAATAAAATTCTTGGCAAACCAATTACATCATAATAAGCTCATCATTTGTGTAATGCAAAATGAAATTGCTTTACAAATTTTCCGACGTAATTGTGTTTTTCCGAGATACCTTTATATCTTACTTCAAAATACGTTACACTGCTATATTAATAACAATAAATTTCTGGTTTACACTGGTTAACTATTTAGAGAAATATAATATAAGTAATACATTATTTACGAATTACTTATTTTCTTACCGTTACAGCCTATTAAAATTCCACTGCATAACTTAGGCCTCCCCATAGATCGTCACATAGGGGAATATTTTACCATAATTGCCACGCTTGGTAGGTGGGTTGACTACCACAGTTTATTATTTTCTAGTTGTTATGGGAAAGTCGCTGCTGCACATATTTTTTCATAAAATACGTTACCTCCACACCAGTATTTTCTCCTGTATCGTGAAGGCAGTTTAAATACAAACATTTCATAAAGACATTTTATCCAGACCCGGAACAACTATTTGTAGGTCATACAAGTACTAATTTCGTGATTTGGAACCCCACCCTCAGCACTGCAACTCACTTAAGCCACTGAGCCATGGAGCCGTCAAATCCGATTGACATTCTCCTGGTTTGTTTCCCTCTGTTAACTTTCACGACACGCTCTCACATAATAGTGAGTGTAGAGAACCGGAGAACCTTTTTACTGGAAACGATCCATTCCATCTTAGTCCTCAGAGTTGACAATGCATCTCCATTTTGATGTTTATTGAGATATAGATGATCTAAGTCTGAGTCACTTAGCGGTTAGTCGTCGTTATAATGCAAGTGTAAACTTTTTTTTATAACAAGTGGTAAAATTAAATATTTTGCACAACCGACTTCAATATAAATATAATTTGTTGTTGATTTTTTTTATAAACCGCTCGACAAATTTCGAAAATATATAAACCACCTGGGAAGTAAATACATTTATAACCTTTGAAACAAAAAAGAATTTTCAAAATGAAGTTCAGACGTCTTCGCGTAATCGGCGAATATAGATAAATTAAAAAAAAAAGTTTCGGACGAATTGTAAACTTGCTCCTTTTCGAACTCGGTTGAAAAAATAGGCACGGTAGGTAGTAAATCTGAGAGTTACACGTTTTCAAAAATCTCACCTCTGTTCTTTAAATGGGACCACCTGGGAAGTATAAATAACCATTGAAACAAAAAAAGAATTTTCAAAATCAGTACAGACGTTTTCGAGTAATCGGTGAATATAGGTACATTAAAAAAAAGATTCCGACGAATTGTAAACCTCCTCTATTTTGAACTCGGTTGAAATAATTTAAAATTAAAAATGTTGTACAACCAACTTCAATAAAAATTATTAAGAATTACTCAAAAACTATTGGTCAGACCTCGATCAAATTTATATGGGACCACATAGAAACACCAGCTTTCAAATAAAAAAGAATCATAGAAATCGGTTCACACGGAAAAAAGTTGTGAAGTAACCACACATAAAAAAAAAACGTACAGTCGAATTGAGTACCGTCTGGTTTTTGAAGTCGGTAGAAAACAGGTTGAAAATATGAGAGTTACATGTTTTCAAAATTCTCACCTCTGTTCTTCCGCAAGGATCTTCCAGATCACACTGACTCTTCAAGAATACTTCCAATAATCCCATGAACAGCATGAAGGCGCCTCCACCACACGTCGCCGCTAGCGTGGGCCCCGGCTGCGTCATTGGGCAGTCGCAGGTTATCGCCATCTAACCAAAAACATGCAAAATATGACTATATATCTCTTATAAACATTGAAGTAATATGTACACTTTACTTACAGTCTGAGGACTGATTCTAACGACGTATGTTGTAGGGAATATTTTTTTTTGTTACCGCTGGAAATTACCCAAACGGGAATATATTGTCAATTTTCCACAAACATTTTACATTGGTCACACAATTTTCATAAATTTATTACACACTGAGAGTGCAGAATAAATTTACGCTATTTGATACGTAATTGTCTTCCGCTCTCTATAGTTTTAAAAAAAATCGATCCGCGGTTGGTCGTTGTTGCTGGTGATAAGAGGGCTGGTTCTTTTCTCGCTCAAATGCTAAGTATAGCCATTCAGCGGGGAAACGCAGCCAGCGTTCTTGGCACGATACCGCGGGGAGTAGGACTATATGATAATTAAGTTTCTAGTTTTAGTTTTTTTATTATTATTATAGTTTTTAATATTGTATATAATTAAAATAAATATATGACGGCACCTGCACCGTTGTAGGTGCGGTGGCGTCGGTCTAGCTAGACAGAATTCTTGTAAACGACACGTGTACCGCACACCTGCGGCATTGCACCTGCGTTGCCACCCGTCCTGCTTGTATAAAACGGACGGAGCGGCCGCCGTTAAGACAGTCTTGGGTCTGACGTGGAACGGTGCGCTTGTCGTATTGCGTTACTAGTTTATCCTCGACTCGTTGGATAATTAATTCGTGTAAACGAATTAATTATTATTCCTAACTACAAAATCAGTCTCAGTACTATACCCACTATACTTCCTACAAAACGGTGCGCTTGTCGTATTGCGTTACTAGTTTATCCTCGACTCGTTGGATAATTAATTCGTGTAAACGAATTAATTATTATTCCTAACTACAAAATCAGTCTCAGTACTATACCCACTATACTTCCTACATCAGAAGTGGGATAAAGTCTCCCTTATTGCCCACATATAATCTTCGAATAGTATGAGAATTATTACATTTGTAAAGGCTATAATGCATTTCGCATTGATGGATCTCTTTTTATGTTAAATACCGTAATGAAATTTGCTGTCCTACTTACGATATTGTCGTATCATTAAAGTGTAGAGAAAAGATAAAGTGAAATTATTTATGCCAAAAGATAAATCCTTTTGTTCGATTTGTATTAAAAGTACCCTCAAGTATTTTCATTATTTCTGACGTACCTAAATATGTTAACAAATGGAAGAAATGTCGGAGGCTTTCTAGACGAGACATCGTTTGCATTGAATGAAAAATTAACTTGTTCAAGTTTTGTTGTAATTTGATAGTTCATGCGAAACATGATTATCATCTGTTATATTTTGAAATTCAAAACGTTTAAGCGATGTACCAAAATAAAGGATTAACTTTAAAATAATAAGTAACATTTTTGTGTTCTAATGTGTTGATCAGTGTTGCAGTTTGCTCCGAATACTGTGTGGTCGACAAGATTAGGGTTTGATGTTGAGAGATTCGTAGAAATCTCTACATCAATGATCAATCAATGAGGAAGATGTTGTGACGGCTAATCGAACATCGTACGGCCGAGCGCTAGTAAAATTGAGCCTACACCGCTACAGTCGGTAACTTATCGGCTGATCTTACGGCAAGGCAATTCAAGCGGCCGCCGAACAAATGGTGCTTTGGCGCTGTAAATGGACGTCTGAGGCTTGGACGGCTTTCGTAGATTTTGCGCGGTTGCCTCCTTCCCTTTGAAATATGTTGTAGTATTTGTCTCTACACATAGTTTCCGTTTTTTGCAATGTTTTCAAATGGCATACAGTTGCCGTTTCTTAAGAGAATCTCTGAATTCCATGGTTCGCAATACATTTATCTCCATTTCTCTTAATTTTTAATTTTGCAAAGCAGTGCGACGATTCGCTAGCGCCAGTACGGCGCGACGGCTCGCTAGCGCGAATGTGGCACTAACGCAGTAGAACGGAAAGTTGGAGTGCGTTTGCCTGGAGGTAGCCATATCGGCGCGTCCATGACTTAAATGAAGTCTGGGATGGTCGACCGTTGTAATATTTAACAAGAGTTAATATCTGTTAGCAGGTGGTGATAACTGATAGACCGTATGCTGTTCACTGTCAACCGCACGAGGACGTGCGACAGTCGGAGGTAGCCGTGTCTGTACATCTAGAAAATACTAGAGACATTGCAACACTCTAACGAAGTAATTATTCTAGTGCAGGAAAGGAACATGAAGTTGCAGGGAGGCTGGTCTGTGCTGCACTGGGATATGTGTAGAGTTGCTGTTGGTTTACATACCTAGGTGTTATCGTGTCACTACGTACCTCACGATACACTTTTGTGTGATTGTGACGGGGACATGTTTGCGGTATGGTTGATCTGTAACTGTTCTATACTGAATTGAAAAAAAAAGAGTAAGAAAAAAAATGTGGTTCTTACTATCATTGCAGGGCGTTTGCCGGTCCAATGATATAGCTACAGGGAATAGTGATTCCGGACTAGCATAAATAGTACTGAAAAAAAAGAGGTTAAGAAAAAAGAATAGTTCTTACAATCACTGCAGGGCTTTGTGCCGGTCCAGTGATATAGCTATAGGGAATAGTGATTCCGGACTAGCGAAAACAGTACTTGAAAAAAAAAAGAAAATAGAAAAAGCTACAGACTAATCATTCCGATCTAACATAGGCTTACTGCCGGAACAAAACTGACTGTCACCCAAGTCTGAAGGGTCAATATAGACCGGACCAAATGCTGTTGTCAGGATAGTCGAACGATGTTTTTTTGTCTACAGATAACTAAAATTGTGATGGAGCGCGTGCGAGGACGCACGCATGTCAGTATGGCCGTGACGGCACCTGCACCGTTGTAGGTGCGGTGGCGTCGGTCTAGCTAGACAGAATTCTTGTAAACGACACGTGTACCGCACACCTGCGGCATTGCACCTGCGTTGCCACCCGTCCTGCTTGTATAAAACGGACGGAGCGGCCGCCGTTAAGACAGTCTTGGCTCTGACGTGGAACGGTGCGCTTGTCGTATTGCGTTACTAATTTATCCTCGACTCGTTGGATAATTAATTCGTGTAAACGAATTAATTATTATTCCTAACTACAAAATCAGTCTCAGTACTATACCCACTATACTTCCTACAAAACGGTGCGCTTGTCGTATTGCGTTACTAGTTTATCCTCGACTCGTTGGATAATTAATTCGTGTAAACGAATTAATTATTATTCCTAACTACAAAATCAGTCTCAGTACTATACCCACTATACTTCCTACATATATATATTGGAAAAAAGATTACATACGGTGATTACATGGACGATTTGAATTGAAATACTGTGAGACACCTTCTGTCGGCAGTATTTATTGCCCGAATCTTTAATTATAAAAGCAAAAACATGACCTCACATACAGTCTGAGACTTTATTTTTATCTATGATATTTAGAAGGCTATTTTAATATATTTTGTAAGCTAGTTAAGCCAATCCTAGGGGCCAAACAGTAGTAAAGGGTAGTGGATATTCTTACACCGCCACTACACGGTCAAATTGATGATTAATCAAATCAATCAAAAAAAAAAATCAAAATGCTTTATTTTAATAACATACCAGATTTACCAACACATTTTGATAACATTCCTTTTAAGTATATAAATACCTGTATTAGGAAGTTATCGTTCGTCTATATTATATGACTACAAGGTAAGTATTAGTTACAAATATAAAGTGTAGCATTTGTGATTACTTAAATCTATTAACCGACATTATTAGATATTGTTTAGCTGCAAAAGCTGTTTTCACCGTAATGGTGGCAACGACAGTCTTTTCTCCTTTTAGTCAGTATTGCAGGATCATACGGTAAAGATTTATGTAGCTTAAGTATGCAGTTGAGAATGATTAATGATCGTTTACTTTATGTAATTGAAGCGATTGTTAATATTATTGCGACATTAACGGCAAATTCACGCTGCTGTTCTACGCTAGTATTCAATGAGAGCGTGGTTCGTCCCCGGTCGAGCCGATCCATTCGTGGTGTCTACAACCATAATATAACTTAAGCGTGGCTCCACCACATACAGATAATCTATAATATAAAAATGAATGGCTGAATGTGTTGCTAAGCGCAAATTTCGAGAGCAGCTGAACCGATTTCGCTAATTCTTTTTTTATAATATTCCTTGTATGTAAGTACGAAGATGGTTCTTACGGAAAGAAAAATTTAAAAAATTTCCTGAAAAAGTCTAAAAACAACACTTTTCTATATTCCCATACAAACGATTCGTAATAATACTTAAAAGTCAATTTGAACTTTACCATACCATAAAGCTTAAGTGTTCGTGGAGGGTTTCCGGGAAGGCAAAACAATTGAGTGACGTTAGTATCGTATAAATATCAATGTCAATATTTGTCAATATTTATACACACTGGCAGATAGCTGATGTTATAAGGAGTAACTTGGGCTGCTTTTATTTTAGGGTTCCGCGAAAAATAACTCCACACGGGCTAAGTCGCGGGGAACAGCTAGTAATAATATATTCATGTTAATAAGTTCAATATACTGGATATCTGCAATGTAATGTAAAGCCTGAATCTATTAAAACTCACATTTACAGGCTGAGTTGCACAATCTTACTAGTTTTGTCTTCTCCAAAAAGGTCAATAATTGTGATTGTCTTTCACGTATATATTATACGTATAGGGTACTAAGTCATGGGCAGGAAATTATTGTATTGTTATCGGTACGTAATACTTTCTCCGAAATTTGAGATTTTCAGAAATCCGAAATCCGGTGACACTGATTAAAATCCATTATGTATTCATAAAACCGTGTAGTGGCGGTGTACAATAAGAATATCCACTACCTCATATCGTCCCGTGGATGTAAAAAGTGACGATAGAGGGAAACAAATCAGGAGATGGGCAGCAGCGTCTTCCTAATAACATCTATCAAGCGACAGGGGACAACATACTCGTACAAGGAGAAGAAGTAGCAGTATCTTCCTAAT